GGGGCACATGGGATTCGTGCTTCATGATGGGGAGAGATAAACATGAAATCTGCATCTTATTTAATCAATAATTTTACAGAGTATCCTTAAAGATTTGAAAGCGTCTTATACCAAGGTCAGCTCTAAAGCATTTGCCCCCCTCCCTCTGTCTCCCTTCTCTCCCCCTCTCTATTTCTCTCCCTTCTCCTCTCTCCCTTCTCCCTCTCTCATCTTCCCTTTCTTTCTCCTTTCTCATTCTCTCTCTCTCATCTTTTTCTATTCTCATTAAAAGTGCATTCAAGTCAAAAGGGATAATATTGATAAATACTTTTTAAATCGTACAGGTAATGTTATTTCCCATGCATGCTATCATTCATCTTAATAAACTTTGGTAAGGAAAGGCATTTTGTGAAATTGAAAACAAAAATTAATCAAATCTTCACTGCTAATTATTGGCCTGTCAACAAGTACATTCAAATACAGTGTGTCCAAAATTTTATTTGGCATGGTCTTCTCCCCCCCCTCCCCCTCCCCCTCCCCCTCCCCCCCCCTCCCCCTCCCCCTCCCCCTCCCCCTCCCCCTCCCCCTCCCCCTCCCCCTCCCCCTCCCCCTCCCCCTCCCCCTTCCCCCTCCCCCTCCCCTAAACAAAAATGATTGGAAAAAATTACATAAGTTGTAAGCACCACATATTCTTTATCTGGTGATAAAACTAATAAATTGGGGTGTAATGATAAAAACAAACATGCTTACTTAAAACCCAAGCTCTTTAAAGAAATTGACTTTAACACCAGTCAATTAGGCTGTAAAAGGAGTTGCAAATGGCAGAAAGCTAGGACAAGAGTTGAGGAAAGCCTCAATTGGAGATGAAATGATAAGAAATGAAAAGAAATGCAGGGGATTAACATGGTTTCCCAACACAAAGAACCGAAACACCATGCCCATTTCTAAATTAACCCAATTTCCCCTACCACTGCAACAATTAATTGAATACATGCCAATCTACATTTTTACTTCTAGATGTTGTATTGACATTCAAGAAGAGACAAGACGGCACTCTAAAATTAAGTCAGAGGGCCAGGAAAAGAGATAAGTTTTGGTCAGAAATAAAATCAAGAAGCAAGTGTCTAGCCTTCCAGGAAACAGAGTTCAAGGAGATTAAAGTTTGTGAGAGCTAACCCTGCATTCAGGCTTGTGCATTCAAGTATACTATAGATGAGTAATATATTTTTTCTCTAGTTTGAGGATAGGGGGAGAGAAGGAGAGATAGGGGAGATGAGGAGAGAGAGGGAGAGATGAGGAGAGAGAGGGAGAGAGAAGGGGTAGAGAGGGAGGAGAGAGAGGGAGGAGAGAAAGAGAGGGAAGAGAGAGAGTGGGGCGGAAGGGGTAGAAAGAGAAGAGAGAGAGGGGGAGAAGAGAGAGAGAGAGAGGGGGGGGGAGAAGAGACACAGAGAGAGGGGCGGGAGAAAAGAGAGGGGGGGGGCTGTTCAACAAGTCAGGCTACTTGGAATATCGTTCTGACTATACTGGGTCTATTTTCTGCTTGACCCACTTAAGATCAATTCACATTGAAAATTTGATTAGATAGTGGTTCAGTCAGCGAAGATTGGCCTGAAAGTAGGTCCATGCCTGGATGCAGGTCGGTGAGTCCGCAGGGCCTCGGATGATATTCAACTTGGAGGAAGAATTGAGTTATAGACAGAGGAAGAGAGAGAAATTGGGCATCAGGGATCAGAATTGAGTCTGAGACACGGGAAGGGAAATAGACAAAGAAAAACTAGGGAGAGGACGAGACAAGAGCTTCGCAAAGTGCAAGCAAGAAATCAATTACGGTGCATTGAATAAGATTGTACGGTACTTTTGAGGATTGGAACAAACATGGTTTGATGGAAATGAAATGAAAAATAAATTAAAAGTGAGTGATAAAAAATTGACATACCAGGTAACTTTAAAAATATGAAAGAAAAATTGTGTTAATGATATTGTGTTTAGTATGAAGCCATTTCTAATTATTAGACCATAACAAATGACATTTATCTAAAAAACATACCTATGTAAAAAATCTATGTATAACAAGAAGAGGGGAGAGTGCCTAAGGAAAAGACTATATCAATAGGGTTGCTCGAATTGATTTTATTATATGAAACTTTATATACATTGTATATGAATAAAGGGCATGAAGAGAAACATGATACAAAAGTAGAATATAGTAATAGCTATCAAATAAATTCACAATGCTTAAAACAAAACAAAACAAAACAAATGATGAAGGTGTGCAAAAAAGAAAGAAAAAATATTTTGCATTGAATTTGCAGATACATTTAGTTTGGACACCTAGATTTCACTTGGTTCTGACAAAATCAATATCCTTCAAAATCACTGCGAAGTAATCAAGGACAACGAGACAAGAGAACACTTGTCTTTATCAGTGACCGTAGCAGCATAAGAGTATCTATTCCTCCCACTTCTCTGACCACATGCAGGAAAACAGAGTCACTGAACCCATTCAAACGTGTGAATGACCGGGGAAATATCGGCAGAGAGCGGATTGTCAAATTACAATAATTTGCTAAAGCCTCTCTTTGGTATATTCCAAACACACTATGGTACATTGCTTCTGTGCATGTATCTGCACATGAGACACTGCAAGAAGTAGCATTCTCTGGGCTGAACACAAATTATAACAACAAGTAGAGTATTATTTCTGCTAAATGTTGTATATAAAAGTTCCCATGAAAAGGTACTTGCATCTAGGAATGCATATATTAGTGAAGCAGAAGACTAGAAGAACCATATCCACACAAAAAATCAAATCAATGAATAATGACAAAATGATTAATAATGACAAAATGATGAAGAATTTCAAAAGAAAAAAAGTGAATTAATAACAGAAAATGAAGGTACAAAGGAAATATGAAGAGAAAATAGGAGTACAAATCAAGGTTTTACATCAACATGAACCAGTGCACATGAGCCCAAATTGTTTTCAAAATTCTGACAGAAGCATCATGCACATATCTTTAAACTTTTAATCCACACGCCCTGTAAAAAAGGAGTAAGTGCAGAGCCCTGAAAAACAGAAAAAGGTGAAGAATAATGAGAAAATGAGGAAAGATGTCAAAGGAGAGACGAACAAGACCGTGACTATCAATCATGTCATATTGGAAAAAGGTGTTAATCTGCACACCTTTTCTTGGCATTTGTTTTTATATTAGTTTTTAACCTGGGATGAAAGACACCAAGTATTCACACCTTAATTTAATTAAACCTCACCTGTTGGATCTGTCTCAAAAGCGTTGGCTTTTTGGGGGTCATTCCAATGCAGAAAGAGAGAAGTTAGGCATGGAATGTTGCAGGTTCTTGACCTCTTTATTAGTGGGGTTTTTACACCATGCCAATTCTAAATTATCTTGGTTCTTAATACTTCCCTTCTGCATTCATTGCACTAATTGTGCCTGTCGTCGAACTAAAGACTATCAAGTTTGCAACCTTTTAAGAACTGACTTTCAAATATATGAAAAGAGTTTGAGGTAATACTATGACAAGTATTTCATTTCTCTACAAATAAACCTACAAAATACTTTCAAACAGATAAAGTTGAATAAAAATAAAAATTTATTGTGGTAGTTTAAATGGTAGAAGCAGAAGTGCAGTAGCAGTAGGAATAGTAGGAGTAGTGGTGGTGGTGGTGGTGGTGGTGGTGGTGGTGGTAGTAATTAATAGTGGTAGTAGTAGTAGTAGTAGTAGTAGTAGTAGTAGTAGTAGTAGTAGTAGTAGTAGTAGTAGCAGCAGCAGCAGCAGCAGCAGTAGTAGTAGTACCATTAGTAGGAGCAGTAGTAGTACCATTGGTAGGAGCAGTAGCAGACAGAGAAAAAGAAAAAGTAGTACTTTTAAACTTTCCAAACTAGTTTCAGTTTCAATTGCCATTGTTTACAGCTGAGGTAACCATAGTAACATGCCACACATTCCTGCATGGCACATGTTTCTTGTTTACAATTTGTTGCCTCCGGCCATGTGCTTATCTCATTAATGAAAATCTGAGCTTGGTCAGATGCCAATCACCAACCCACCATCCCAAAACCACCAGGTACTACGTTACCATGGCAACACATTCACACAAACGGTATCAGGGGTAACCAAGTGCTTCCGTGCAGGTAAGCGCAGGTAGCCGGGCTTGGCACACTTTGCGGAGAGTGAGTTTCCTGGTAAAAAGGGTAAGAAGGATTCTGAACATGTTGACAGAAAGACAAACCGCTGAGGGGTCGGAGTGAACCACTACAAGCTCTTGTTTGTAAACAAATACATTGATCTAGCGTCATGACCTTCAGGAGTATATCTGGTACTACATCAATCTCAAAACTTTGACGCACCGAACTCTCCCCTTTTTTCTCGCAACAAAAATAACCAAATGATGATGCTTTCTATTTCAAGCAACTGTCTCTAAGTGGAAAGGCTTTTAAAGTAGAACAAGAACTAGAACAAGAAGGAGAACAATCAAGAGTACATTCGGTGTTGAGTTGGGCTACGTAAATCCCCCTAAGCGATCATCACAGGAACCATCTGTAGGAGCATTTGACATCAGCCCTAAAGTGCATGTTTACATATCAAGCTTCAGCAGCAAACATGACATTTGAAGAACTAGTAAGAAACTTTCGACCTACTCAAGACCAATACTCAAGACCTCCCCCTCACATTCTTAGACCTCTTTCAGACATGACACAGTAGGCTACCCCCTCCCCCCTCCCCCCCCCCCCAAAACCAAAAAATGCTCCAGGAAAATAACAACTATTTTACATGAATGGCAAATTGGAGGTAAACAGATATATGTGCTCAAGTATACAGGCCCCGAATAAGCGTACCAAGACGTCTGTGTGTAATAAGTGACAGAGATGTGGAGCACATTACGCCTAAATATTTGTATGCCAATATGTTTTTGATGCGCCTTTTTTTGGGGGGGGGGGGGGAGGGGGTGGTTAGTTACGACATTAAATGTGAATGAGACTTAGATGAGTGATCATCTTTACCTTTCGTGGTCAACGCCAAGGTCTGTATAGATGCTAAGAAACATCCCTCCGAGCACATAGCCGAAGGCTGGGCCAAGTAGAGACGCCCCATTGAAGATTCCTGCAGGGAAAATATGTGAAGAAAGAAATAATGACATGGTTTAATGACTTTCATTTTCATTGGCGGATGGAAGGTTACATAGAAGTTATTTGAATAAAGAAAAAATATTGGGAGGAACTTCAGATGATTAAATATGGCACACATACCGGATACATACATGTATGTCCCATGGATAAAAGATGTAAAAGTTGTAAAAGTGTGAATTTACCCCTTTCACCTTACAAATCTTAAACCTCCTAATGTAACCCCCCCCCCCCCCCTTCCCTCAAAATTAAAAAAAAATCTAATATTGATTATGCATTCAGATTCTGAACTACAATCGCAAAAATGTTGGAATATGTCATTTCCGACAGACCGACACTCAATATTTGAATAATGCATCGCTGCTGTTAATAATGAATTGAACCACAGAAAATTTCACTGCTCTAGCTTTTGAAAGGGATACTAAAGTATGTCTTTGTTTTTCATATAGTCGAGCGTCAAGCAAACGCCTGTATCAAATATATATTTCCATAATTATCTGAAAGAAATAACACACCTGCTGTTTGGTACATAGGCCTACTGACAAGAATCTCTAAGCCTGCGTCTAATATCTACTGTGAGGTGTCCATTTCAAATCAATCTTTAACCAGAAAACTGCGGTCATCATAATTGCTTACAAATTTGAATGACGTGAGTGAGATATTGCCTGTTGTATCTTCTCTATTGAAAAAATGCCAACCCACACATCAAAAACCACAGAACAAACACAGGTAATTTATGGGAAAAGAAAAAAGTATAATACAGATATCCTTGTATGTCTTTGATGCACTAAATCAAGCGGATCAAATTTTCATTGAAGATTTTGTTTGTATTTGGATAATGGTGTATTCTATCTTGGGAATAAATGCAGACAAAGGCATTTGGGTTAGGTACTGTTCAAGTTTAAAAGTCCATGAAATCCAACCTGCGGTCTACCTCCGTTCTCACAGCTACGCATTGTGCAAGGTAACGGGTGGGCGTGCCTGCTAACAGCGAACTTGAGACGTCGGACTGACGTGAAATCTTGGCGACGTTGTCAATGAATCGTTTGGTGTGGGTGTCTTCCACTTACAAAAGTTTGCATTTTCTTTATTCTTGTGCATAACAATGGACAATATGTGATAAAAGTTAAGTAAATATGAATGAATGTGGATATAAAATCAGAAAAGGTTTGGCTCAAATCAAGAAATAATTAAACAAAACATATTCAAACACGAATCTAAATTATTCAAAAGATAACCTTTGTCATGAAGCTACAAAGCATCATATTATCTATCATTAGTGAACATTTTTCGATCTATTCCTGTAAAATAAATGAATAATTGATGGTACGTGATATAGGCCTACATTTCTGTTTCATTAGAGAAAGAAAGATTTATTATTTTCAAACTACACTATCTGTTTGGAGCCTGAATAGATTACCAGTAAAGCTAATCTTGAGCTCTGCATGGTATGGGAATCGTATGTCAAGAGAACATGGCTATAATTCATTCTGGATTGTTTATCCTTCAGTAGATTGATTATTTGAACCACTAACAAACTCACAAATACTTGCTGGAAATCATCTTTAATCAATTTTCTATTATTCTATCAGAACTCAAGCTTATCTTTAACACACCTTCTGGCTCTTAAAACATGATGACATTCAATTCCTACAGGGGACTAGCATGCTGCCCACAACATGAAAGGTAAAATACAACATGTTCTGAGGCAGTCATGAATAAACTGAATAACAACATTCCTTCATGTAGCAGCGCATGTCTTTGTCACTGACCTATAAAGTTGACAGAGAGAATACATATTTACTCTTATTACTAGACGATCAAATATCAGGCCTAGCCTTAATATGATTCTACGCAAACAGCTCCAATAACCACTCCCCAAGTCCCAACAGTATGTTAGACAAACATCAGTCCTTCACTTGTTAGCATTGAATTACAGTATCAAAATGATGGATGTTAAAGGGCATTTCTAACGACACTTGATTTACAAACTCTCAACAATTATGTCTGCAATAAATAAAGCCAAGAAATGGAAGAAATGTTTATAGGCCTATCATATTTCTAAAAACCTAGCCCCTATATGATTTACGACAACGATTGAATATGTGCTGGAATTTTTATTTCCGCAATAAACAAATCTACAATAAGTAACATTGGAAACTTATAGACCTATTGTATTTCTAATAGCCTAGATTGTTTATAGCATATATCAATGTGTTCACTGATTACATGCTGGGATTTTTATTTTGGCAAGAAATAACCCAAAGAAGAAACAGCAGAAAGTTGTAGGCCTATTGTGTGTCTAATAGCCTAGAATTATTGTGGTTTGAATCAATGCATTCGTTTGAATGTGATAGAGGCAACCAAGAAATAGAGGACAATTTTAGTCCCATTATATTTCTAAGAGCCCACATTATTTACAGCATAGATTGATGTATTCAATTAATATGTGTATATAAATTATGATTTCAGCTATCCAAGAAAAAAAGAAAAGTTAAAGGTCTATTGTATTTATAATAGCCTGGATTTATAACGGTATAGATCAATGTATTTGTGTGATGTGTAAGTCCGTAGGCCTAATGGAATTATGATTTCAACAATGGACAAAAACCAAGAAAGAAGAAAAAATAAAGACTCATTGTATAATTCATAATAGCTTTGACTTCTTTCTGCATAGACCAATGTATTTACTAAAGATATACTTCAATTTCGATATTATTTTAAAAATTGCGATATTATTAGAAAGTGGGGGAAAGAAACATTAACATAAAATGACTTCCTTCCCTTTCTATTCCACACCCTTGCACTACTCATCCCACTAGATAATCTTCTTGTTTCCCATTTCATCCACCTACAGTAGTCAGACCGTCAGTACCCCATCCCCCCCCCTCCCCCCTCCCCCCCTCCCCCCTCCCCCCCTCCCCCCTCCCCCCTCCCCCCTACCCCATCATACCAGCAGCCTCTCAATGGCTAGACCCACGTCACAGATATCATTTGGAGTATTACGCGATCACCCAACTTGGCATTTAAATATAAAAATAAGCAACCTTGATCAAAGATGTTCATGATTTCCAATGATTACAGGAAGGGTGTAAACATTTGGCCTAGTTCAAAAAGAAATGTTGAGATATCAAGTTTAGCGAGAGGAAATGTCACATTTTTGCAAATTGGAAAGAGTCTTCTTTTTGATTAGTTTCTGCCAGACCTTGGGCAAAGATTGACTTGCAGAAGTTTACTTCATTTTTTTTTCTATCCCTCAAGACTCCTGCTGTTTCTTTTCCTTTTTACCATTTCAATCAGAGGATTTAAAGTCAAGGAAACAAACTGTCACGTCAGTCATTCCAACGTGTATGCCTATGGAATAGATGATTTGATCATCTCTCTATACTTAAGCTGGAGATTATATTCTACCATTCAAGAGCGCATTTCTTTTTTAAATGGAAACATAGTTTCTATTGAAGGTTTTCCAGCATATTGTACCAACTAGTACAGATTTACTTAACAAGTTTGTTGTTCATTTCAATATGAGCTGTACTTAAAAATATTTTATGGATCCACTTTGAATTTTACTTTAAATAAAAATATGATTTTTGTTATGCAATATATTGGATGGGCTTATATAAATCAAAAATAATTAGGGCATTTTAAACTGCCCAAAGTATTTTAAAGGTCCAAGGAAAGTTACACCATGTTGAAAAATGGATGAAAACATTGAATAAAAGGTGAGGTTACTAAAAAAATATTATATAGGTTGTAAAACAAAATTTGATGAGCAGTTCCAGGCTATAGCCACACAAAATGTAGGAGTATGAAAATAGCATTTCTCAACATTACATGGTTATATGAGGGTAAGGTCAAGGTAACAAGAACAATAATAATAAAGTTTCAGACTGTTTTTTTCATCAGGAGGGATGGACACATGTCCCAGTGATGTCCTTCAAAGTAGGCTCATCCCTGTCACTGGACTTCTCCCCCAAGTCTAGCCTTGCTTGGTCTAGCATCCCCACTGTGTGACCATGGTCAGCCTTGTCAGGGAGGGTGATATGGGGAAATAATCAATGTCGGATTCAATCAGTTAGTGAATCACTCAACTACATCATGGAGCAAGATGATGATGATAAGTAAGGATGGTCAATGAGGAAGATGATGATGTAATATATTGATGGTGATGAAGGTGACAGTGATGAAGTTGACAATGATGAAGTTGACAGGGATGATGACAATGATGGTAATGAGGATGAGGAGAAGGAGGAGGAGAAGGAAGAGGAGGAGGAGGAGGAGAAGGAGGAGAAGGAGAAGGAGGAGAAGGAGAAGGAGGAGGAGGAGGAGGAGGAGGGGGAGGAGGTGGAGGAAGAGGAAGATAAGGATGGACTCTCCAGCCTCTAAGTATTAGGAGGGGAGGGCACATTCACTGATCAAAACCATAAATTATCTAGAGGGCACCTGGGAAAACTGCTCTAACTAACCTCCCCCCCCCCCCCCACACTTTCATCAAAACGGTTGCCAACCAGAGGTCCTATTTATCTCATTTTCTTGAAACCTCAATCGAATACAGGAGAGGTCTGTAGACTTTTTTCTTCATGGTCAGCCGTGTCAAAGGCAGCCATTTTGAGAGGCAATCAATGTCAACTCCAACTGTGAATCCAATCGCTCACATCAACTGGACACGAATCAGCCTGATCGTAGTGACCTATGAATACCAGTATTACAGCATCTTAGAAGTACAACCATCTTCTCTGTATCCCTGTAGTTTTTTTGCTCCTCCTTCTTCTTTCTTGCCTCTTCCTCTTCCTCTCCTTGCTCTTCTTCTTTTTTTACCTTCTTCTTTTCCTCCTCCTTCTTCTTCTTTTACTTCTTCTCTTCCTTCTTCTTCTTCCTCTTCCTTTTTTTCTCACTCTGTTTCTTTTCCTGCCTCTCCTCCTGCTCCCTCTTCTTTTCCTCCTGCTTCTTTTTCTTTTTCTTCTTCTTCTTCTTTCT